GGCGTTGTTCCCATGACAATGCCCTCAACCAGAATCTAATCCACGTTTTGTTGTTGTGTGATGCCCCCATCCCAGGGAATTAAAAAAAGAATAGCAAAGCCCCAAGTACATCTGCTTCTGACTGGCTGGCTACTGCTGTTTGTGTTCTCTTCTGTTAATTTGGCGCCAGAAAGATCGATCTGAGTGAAGGTGTGGAGAGATAAGCTGGAATTTGTTTACGGAGTGAAGGGAAGAAGGACCCTGTTCTGCTTCCCCGATTCAATCCAATCACTGAAGACTGGGAAAGGGACACATAGAAATATTTTCCTGGGGGGTGGAGGTTTCTGGAACCACCTTGCAACCCCATTGGAGTTCTTCATGCCCCACAAGCAGTGGCTTAGGTCGGGGGCAGACTTTGGTCTTTCAAATTTCAGCGGCTCCTGTGTGAGCCCAAAATTTGGCACCTCTTGCCTTTCTTTCTGCTCAATTGACCATACCATAGCTGTGATGCCCTGTGGTGCCCCTAGGCTGTGGCGTCCCAGTGCAGTGGTACCAGTTGAGCTGCCCTGAATCTGCCTTTGCTTAGGTCTCTTAGGACTTAAAGGACCACATGGGTGGCGGTGTGGGTTAAACCACAGAGCCTAGGGCTTGCCGATCAGAAGGTTGGCGGTTCGAATCCCCGCGACGGGGTGAGCTCCCGTTGCTTGGTCTCAGATCCTGCCAACCTAGCAGTTTGAAAGCACGTCAGAGTGCAAGTAGATAAATAGGTACCGCTCCGGCAGGAAGGTAAATGACGTTTCCGTGAGCTGCTCTGGTTTCGCCAGAATCGGCTTAGTCATGCTGGCCACATGACCTGGAAGCTGTCTGCGGACAAACGTCAGCTCCCTTGGCCTATAGAGTCAGATGAGCACGCAACCCCAGAGTCGTCCGTGACTGGACCTAACGGTCAGGGGTACCTTTACCTTTACCTTTATCAGGTTGGTTGTTTGGTTTGTAAAACTGTGGGTTGAACTGTGAATTGAGTTTGGGATCCTTCCCCTGGTGAGGGCATGGTGAAAACTACAGGCATCTGGAAGTTCAGGAAGTAGATCCTGGCCATACCTGGTGGCTGAGGAGTGGGGGCTGGTGATCATGGGAGTAAAGAACCAGTAGTAAAACCTCCTATCTGACTGAGCAGAAGAGAGGCTGTCTCCAGTTGTTTTAGGCTGCTTAATCTCAGATTTTACTTATTTCCCTTGATATCCTGAGAAGGAAATGGAAGCCCTGAAATTTCAGATTAGATCATGAGACCTGGCAACCCTAAGCCAGCTGGGTTTGGCTTGGTGGGCCTTAGTTTGTGCAGACCTGAACGAGATTGCTTGATGCAACATTGAATAACCTCCCTGCAAATAAATCAGGATGAATGTTCAATAAACATGCTCAATAAACAGGTCATCCAACAGATTTATATCCTGTAAGGTACTGTGCCACTTGGCTCATTTGGAATTATTCCTTGGGGAGGGGAACCCTATGGCTCAATGGCCTCTGCCTCTCTACTAGTTCTGTGACGTGGCCTGAGTCTCAGAAGGTCCTTCATCTTACCCAGTTAATGATCTCATTCATTATACAACCCTGTTCCTTACTAAAATGTGCATGTATGGTGCCTTGGGACCATTCATCACCCCACTGTGGAAGGCACTTTGGGAGCCCTGCTTGGCAGGTGGGAAATTCCTTAAGGGAACAGTAGTGAATGAAGCACTGATGAAGTCTGGCCAGTGATGCCTTGCCCAGGGTCTCAAAATCCTGTACCAGTGGTAGATCACAACAAAATTTAGTGTCGCCTTTCTCTCTCTTTGATGCAAAAGTCTCCTGCAGAAGAGAGGCTTGCAGCTTGAGGACATATTTGGATTAGTTTTCCTGTTGCTTGAAGACAAGGCCTACACAGATTTTAATGGTAGAATCATGGAGTGGGAAGGGACCCTGAGGATTCTAGTCCAATGGGGTGTATTCTCTCTTTCGGTCCTCCTTTTTGTTGGTAGGGTAGGTCGTGTCCGACTCTTCGTGACCCCATGGACCAGAGCACGCCAGGCACTCCTGTCTTCCACTGCCTCCCGCAGTTTGGTCAGACTCATATTTTTGCTTCGAGAACACCGTCCAACCATCTCATCCTCTGTCGTCCCCTTCTCCTTGTGTCCTCAATCTTTCCCAATATCAGGGTCTTTTCCAGGGAGTCTTCTCTTCTCATGAGGTGGCCAAAGTCTTGGAGCCTCAGCTTCAGGATCTGTCCTTCCAGTGAGCACTCAGGGCTGATTTCCTTCAGAATGGATAGGTTTGATCTTCTTGCAGTCCATGGGCCTCTCAAGAGTCTCCTCCAGCACCATAATTCAAATGCATCAATTCTTCGGCGATCAGCCTTCTTTATGGTCCAGCTCTCACTTCCATACATCACTACTGGGAAAACCATAGCTTTCTTCAAGCAAAAGGGGCAGGGAGAACACCTGGATTAAAATCTGCGTGGGTTGGGGGTGCTTTGAATCATAGAATTGTAGAGCTGGACGGGGTCTCAAGAGGCATCTAGTCCAGTCCCCTGCAATGCAGAAAACTCAGCTAAACCATCCGAATACCTTTGTTCTTCCGCAGGTGGAACTACTCAGCATCTAATCAGTAATCGATTATTAGATTTAAGAGAACAGCTTCTTTAGGATGAGCTTAGTGTTTAAATGTTGAACAAGGTGATCAGTTTAGCCACAGGTCTGCTAGAGGCTGGATTATATTGAATGCTGTTTCTAAGACTTGTATTCCTGATTGTTTTCCCTGAAGAAGAACATGGATGTTCAAAACGCATTGGGAAATCTGTTCAATACCACATCTTACACCTATTGGTTCCTTCTTATCTTCTTTCTGCTAATGCCTTTGCGTGCAAGCATGAAAGCGGAGAAATATCGTGAGATCCCTCTGGGGACGCCACTGTTTGACATTGGTTATGAGGATTGCATGATATGGGCTCTTTCTTTGTTAGACCTCCCAATGCTCCCCATCTGCAAGCCAGGAGACAAAAGAAAGAAGAATTTTTCAGAAGTGGATGTGGTGCCGTAGAGAAATCAATACTTGTGGTAGGTGCACACATTTTTCTTGTTTGGCTTATTTTTGTACTGTACTAAAAATCTCCAAACCTGTCTGGACAGAGACAATAGTGGGGCAAAATAAACAAACCTCACAGAAAGGAGTGGTGACAAACCATTGCCTTCCCAAGAGCGATGTCGCTTACCAAGGCACTGGTGAGATCACCGTGCCCCCCTGCCCCATCCAAGTACGCAGCAGGGAGGGTGACAGGGCAGCACCTCTCCCTGGGAGCAAGGATCCTATGACATCACCTTTGCCTCCCTTGAAAATACTTGCCCAACTCTCACCTGAGTGCTCTGCATATGCCATGTTAGGCAAATTCAAGGAGAACAAGGCTTTCAGTGACTCTAGTCATAAATGGAGTCAAATGTAGAGATGGGTAGTTTGCCTAGACAAACATTGGGGGGGGGGAACCATCAATACCTCTGTGTTCTTCTGGGGAAGTGAGGCCTGATGCTGGAGACAAGAAGGAAGTACCGTATTTTTCGCTCTATAAGACGCACCAGACCACAAGACGCACCTAGTGTTTGGAGGAGGAAAACAAGAAGAAAAAATATTCTGAATCTCAGAAGCCAGAACAGCAAGAGGGATCGCTGCGCAGCGAAAGCAGCAATCCCTCTTGCTGTTCTGGCTTCTAGGATAGCTGCGCAGCCTGCATTCGCTCCATAAGACGCACACACATTTCCCCTTACTTTTTAGGAGGGAAAAAGTGAGTCTTATAGAGCAAAAAATATGGTACTTTACGTGGCACATAGTGAAACTGGAATGCATCACCGGAAGATGTCATTGTGAGCGTGGTGTTTAAAAAAGGATTAGACAAATCAATACCCAACCAGCCATGATGGCTATGCACTACCTTCAAGAGAAAAGAATTGATCGACATTGAGATCGACATTGCACTCAGGCTCTGCTCGTGGGCTTTTTATAGGCATCTGGTAGGACACTATGGGGATGCGAGTGGCGCTGTGGGTTAAACCACAGAGCCTAGGACTTGCCGATCAGAAGTTTGGTGGTTCGAATCCCCGCGACGGGGTGAGCTCCTGTTGCTCAGTCCCTGCTCCTGCCAACCTAGCAGCTTGAAAGCATGTCAAAGTGCAAGTAGATAAATAGGTACTGCTCTGGCGGGAAGGTAAACGGCGTTTCTGCGCGCTGCTCTGGTTCGCCAGAAGCGGCTTAGTCATGCTGGCCACATGACCTGGAAGCTGTACACCGGCTCCCTCGGCCAATAAAGCAAGATGAGCACCGCAACCCAAGAGTCGGCCACAACTGGACCTAATGGTCAGGAGTCCCTTTACCTTTAGGTCACTATGTGAACTGGGGTCCTGGACTAGATTCACCTTTGGTCTGATCTTGCAGGGCTCTTAGGTCCTTATGCTGCCCTCCCCACTCTGGTGTCCTCCAGATGTTCTGGACTGCAGTTCCCATAATCTCTGACCATTGGCAATGCTGGGTGGGGCTGATGGGAGTTGTAGCCCAAAACGTCTGGAGGGCACCAGGTTGGAGAAGGTTGTTCACGTGCTATGACAGCAGGGAGCAACATGTTGCATTAGATGGATCTTGGTGTGATCTAGGAAGGCATTTCTCGCAGTCTTCAATCGACGCCCGGTTCCCTTCGTTAGGACATGTCTTGAGACAAAGCCATGAGTCCTCAGCAACTTCCTCCTTTTTTTCTGGTTCGTACTTGCCAAATTCCCCTTTGTGGAAGGATTCCAAAGCTTGTTGAAGTCAACGAGCAGCTGTCCTTTGTCAAGGTGCTCCTTCGCTGTCGCCTCGCAGAATAATGTATGATTGGCTTCTGCTGTTTGGTACAATGCACATAATATCCCCGGGCCACGGAGCTCTGCGATGCAAAAGGAGGGGCCTCTGCTCTGTAAAAAGCGCACGCTGCTCTCGCCGTGCCAGAGAATAATAGCCCTTTGCCACGGAAAGCTTGACACATAAAAGTTTATGCCTGCCAGTTGTCAAGGCCACTGAACTCCTTTCGGCTCGGCGGCGTGTGCTACACTTCAGCCAGATACGTGCAGAGCGGTCTGTTAGCGGGGCAAGAGCTTTGAAATGCGAGCGAGCATAGTTTGCCGTGCTGCAAGCCGAGGCCGATCGTGACCCTTCTTTGGAGAGTGGACTGCGAGCTAATCACGCTGATTAGTAGCAAAACTTTCTCAAAAGCTCGGCTTGACGGGTTGTGGTTCCCCATCAACAAGGAAGAAATTGCGGCGTATTGTTCAAACCGAGTCTCCGAAGCAAGAGCACGAAATCCTGAACAACGGAGAGGGAGGGGGTGTAAGAAAGAAGGCAAGAAAAACAACTTCGTTAAACAAGGGAGCCTGCAGGACAGCTGCCCTGGTGATGGGAGGTTTGGGTTCATTGTTGTTATGGAAATTACGGGGGGGGGGGGCATGTTTAAAGTTGTTAAAAGTTATGCCTGAATGCATCCTTTCAACTTGACAGCTCAGGGAAGTTACCTAGCTTTAAAAATAATATAAAATCAACTTCTTTGCCAGTTTCCTCCATTCTAAAGCTATTTTCCTATTTAAAATGGACTCCAGGAAGTTCCCAGAGGTGACAATTGCTGGCCAATGAAAGCCTAATCCCATCACCAGACTTGCCAAGGGGTCCAGACATGCAAAGGAAGTTCTATTGTACTTTGGGTGGTGGGACTTCAGAGGTGTTTGCCTATGCTAATCTTATACCTGAGTCTTGCCCTGCCATGTCTGCTTATGTTAATCTTGTACCAAGCTCTTGTCTGGACATGTTTGCCAAGGTTAAACTAGTGTAACCCCTGTCTACCCCTCCCCTTTTGTGACATGTCAGTGATGTAGCAATGATGTGTCAATGATCCTGTACGAACTGTATTCTGGGATATGGTGGGAAAGTTTTAAAAGTCATTGCCACCCCATCCTCAGGGTTCAAAATTCCTCTATGAACCTGTTGCGCAATAAACTTTGGTCTACAGCTATTTGCTCCGGTTGGTGGCTGGACTCCTTCCTTTATTCTGCAGGGACCCGCGGTTTCTGCCCGACGAGCTGGGTGACTGAGCAGCCTCACACCTAGATTTTTCCGTAACCATTGTGTAGGGTGCCTTTTGCTTGTTTCCAGGCAGGCTTGCCTCCACACAAGGGCAGGATTCCAAGCTCAATCCACAGTTCAGCAAAACAAAAAGCCATTATAGCATTACTTCTTTAAGTCATAAGAGATCCAAGTCACTGCTTTGTGTGGGGCAAGACTGGACTTCCAAACAAGCCTCCACCCTCCAGCAAAGCCATTCTCTTCCCCTATCCCTACTACAATGTTCTTATGTGGGTCCTTGCATGTGAGGGACTAGAAAATAGGAAAATAGGAAAAAGGCTCCTCATGTCTTTCCATTCTGCAAACAAACACAAACTCTCGATTTGCGAATGCAATCCCACAAATTGCATAGATGTTGCTGGTGCCACCCTAACTAAAATGAGGGCAAGCAGCAGCAGTGTATCTTATAGCCGGGCCTAAGTGGATCGTGTTTGCATTTTGCTTTGTTTTCAGATATTCCCAGGATTGGTGAAACCTGAATTCACTCTAGAAAAAAAGAGGGATGGGTTGTGGTCAAGGGCAACATCTTGTGAACAATGCCCAGAAATCTTGGACTAAGACAGCCTCAGACTAACAATAAAGCCCCGTGTGGACAAGCCATCTGTTCCACCACTGCCACTGCTCTCCTGTTAGCTGATCATCCTGCCTGTTTTGAGTGAAAGGAAGCACTCTTCACTCAAAAGAAGAATCACCCAAGGGCAGTATGAACTCAGAAGTGGGCTGGACTCCATCTTGCAGCAGTTGGTAGTTGCAGTCTCATTCTCTTGCACTTTGGACAGAAAACCACCATTTTTATTTATTTATTTATTAAAGGTAAAGGGACCCCTGACAGTAAAGTCCAGTCACGAACGACTCTGGGGTTGTGGCTTTACAGGCCGAGGGAGCCGGAATTTGTCCGCTCCGCAGACAGTTTTTCTGGGTCATGTGGCCAGCATGACTAAGCTGCTTCTGGCGCAATGGAACACCAACACCAGAGCAGCACACGGAAACGCCATTTACCTTCCCACCAGAGTGGTACCTATTTATCTACTTGCACTTTTTGGCGTGCTTTTGAACTGCTGGGTTGGCAGGAGCTGGGACTGAGCAATGGGAGCTCATCCCGTCGCGAGGATTTGAACCGCCGACTTTTTGATTGGCAAGCCCAAGGCTCAGTGGTTTAGACCACAGCGCCACCAGCGCCCCCCATTTATTTATTAATGATAATAAAGTTGTCACCCTCTGGAACTCTCTTGGAAGGAGGCACACAAAGAAGGGCCTCAGATGATGATTGCACGGTTTGTGTCCATTCCTATGGGGAGAGGCAGTCCTTGAGGTATTGCAACATCTGTAGTGGAAAAGGCTGAGTCTGTGGAGAAAGCAACGGATGAGGAAAAATGCCAGCCCTTGGTTCCTGGCCTATCCCATCATGTCACTCAACTGCTGGAGCCATTGCATGAGAATGTTTCATCGAAGCTAAGCTGTGCAATGTCTAGAAATTTAGATGTACTTAACTCAAGTCAATGGCACTAGCCCAAGAAACAGATGCTCTAGCAGTAAGCAGTTTCGCCACGAACAGCTCTTGCGGAGGTAAAATACATGGAAAATAAGAATTTATAGCATTTTTGAGCGTCTGAAGCACTCTGCATACATTATTTCAATATTTATTATTATCATTTATTTACAATGCTTTTCTCTCAAGTCCCTCTGCACTCAGGGCAGCTTTTAGTTGAAGATAACAACTGTGTCTTAAATCAAGTCTATAAAGCAGGCCATTACTATTGACCCCTATTGACCCCATGGTCTGCAGTGTGGTGGGGACTGTGGCCAAGACAGCTGCTGGCCCACGGCCCCTTCATGGGCTTGTGGGTGAAGTGCAGTTGGAAGATGTGGCATCTAGGCTCACAACTCACAGGATTCCTAATATTTCATTCATGACCTTTGTCTTCTGCCCTCCTACTAAGGAGCCCAGGGGATGGGTGGGGAGTTATCCCCCTTATTTATAGTATTAATATTATTAGTGTTATTATCTTATTGTTAAATTTATGTCCTGCCCTTCCTCCCAAAAGAGCCCAGGTTGGCAAACACATAAGATAAAACAATAAAAACAGCCCAAAGCATCTTAAAATTCATGTGTGTTCATATACACACTGCTGAGAGGTTTAGGAGCTTTTGCTGGAGAGTTATGACATGCAGTGGTTATGCATGTGTGTTAACACTTATTCTTATGCCCACAAGAAGCTATCACACGAAGAAATAAAAAAGCTTGGTTTAATATATAGAATAGGAGTGACAGAATATATATAAATGCTGCTTCGGACAGGAAAGTTACAGTCTAAAGTAGGTAGCAAATCACAATGCATACACATCTTGATTAAAGGTTCCCTAACTATTCTAAAAGGCCTACAGAAGCATAAGCAGAAACTAGATGTGCAAAGAAGGGAGGCGGGGGAAGGAAAGTATACCTGTTGTTAAAGCAAATGTGTGTTGAGTCCTGGGGAGTGCTGGGTAAGTGCTGCCCTGATGGAGCTCTGAGCTAACCAGCCTTTGAATCTATAATAGGGTTTTATACCTTTTGGCCAAGGCATACCAGTGGAGAGGGGAGCAGGCTGAGTGATTTCTACAATGTCCATAGTTCCTTCCAGGATAGTGAGAAATGGTTAAAACTGGCCATCCCGTTTGCTTAACAATGACTTGTGATAGTGAACCATTACCTGAACCTAGGCATCTCTATCTGCCTTCAACTCTCCCTACCAATGTGTGAATGGATCCCACTGGAGAGTTGAATATCCTGTACTTACCAACTAAACTGGCATGTTTTAATCTAAAAGATTAGGTCAGGTGTGCATGAACTCAGGATATGCACAAATGCAGGCAGAGGCAAACTTGGCCCTCCAGATGTTTTGGGACTGCAACTCCCATGATCCCTAGCTAACAGGACCAGTGGTCAGGGATGATGGGAATTGTAGTCCCAAAGACATCTGGAGGGCTGAGTTTGCCTATGCCAGCCCAAATGCCTTTCAGCAGGGGGCTGAAATCTGGCTTGATCCAGGGTCACCAAAGGTCATGTCATATTAGTTATGTCAATCTTATACGTATGCTATGATCTCCAGATATAAACCATATTGTAAATTCAGATTCACACACACCTCCTCACACAATGGCAGTATAGTTGAGGACAGGGAAATATTTTTTATTTAAAAGACTTTTTGCAGAGGAAGGTCTTCACTAGACACCAAAAAGACAACAGAAATGGTGCCAGCCTAATATTCGAGGGGGAGGGAATTCCAAAGGCACTAGGGGACTGATTCCTATATTGTGCAGAACAGACTTCCTGATAGGAGGGCCTTCTGCAGAGTGCAGCAGTTGATTGGGTATATATTTCACAAGGGATGCTTCTAGACGTGGGTGAGCTAGCAGCACCCAGTTGTTGCTATTCTGCTTCAAACTCTGCTTCCCAAATACTGGAACCCAAATTATAATGTCAAGTGATCAATTCCTCTTTCCCAGCCCCAAATATCAGGGGAGGTGATTTATGTTGGGGCCTTCGGGGTGGGGGAAAGAGGAAGATGTGGCTTATCTGATGGGGCTGGACCTCAGTGCTAGCTTCCTTAGTAGTGGGCTTACTGGGAGGGGTGAAGTGGTGGAGAATTCAGTGTGTTGTGGATGCACTAACTTCCCCACAGCCTCCCTCCCTCCTTCTGGTAAGTGGCAGAGACCCTCCTGCCTGGAAGCTAGTGGGAAGGATTGAAAGTTCTGCCCCACTCACTGCAATATGAATTGTGACAGCAATTTGGGGTGTGGGACAGACCTAAGAGTAAATTATTTGGAAAGGGAAGAGTTAAAGGGATGGAGATAATTCCTGGAGTGGAGGGAAGGTTGTAGTCAAGGAAATCCAGCATCGCCTGAGCTCTGCGAGTGCGGTTTTCTCCCGACTGAAGTGCAGAGTGTTTGAGGACAGGGACGTTCGCAGGGAAACCAAAATGCTTGTTTACAAAGCTATTGTACTACCAACCTTACTAAAAGCTTGTGAAACATGGACCACTTATGAACGCCATCTCCAGCTCCTTGAAAGATTCCATCAACGGTGTCTCCGAAAAAATTTACACATCTGAAAAAAATGTACACATCACTTGGGAAGACAGGCGAACTAATATCAGTGTACTGGAAGAAGCAAAGATCACCAGTGTTGAAGCAATGATTCTTCAACATCAACTTCGTTGGACTGGTCATGTTGTGCAGATGCCTGATGATCGTCTTCCAAAGCAACTACTCTATTCCGAACTTTAAAATGGAAAGCTTAATGCTGGTGGTTAACAAAAGAGGTTAAAAAACTGTCTCAAGGCAAATCTAAAAAAATGTAGTATAAACACTGACAACTGGGAAAGACTTGGCAAATCCACACCAGCTCCCACCCGGAAACCAATGTCCCCACTGTGGAAGGACGTGTGGATCCAGAATTGGCCTCCACAGTCACTTTGTTCAAACCATGTTTATGGAAGACAATCTTACTTGGCTACGAGTGATCGCCAAAGAAGAAGAAGAAAGCAGTCAAGGAAATGACTAGAGCAGTGGTAGGCAACCTAAGGCCCATGGGCCACAAGCGGTCCACGGTGGTCGTTTAACTGGCCCACAAGCCGCCTGCTTGGCGAGTCCCCATGTGCTGTGCTAAACCGGCACAGAAAAACCAGGATGGGGACTCACGTCCGCGGTGCCGGAAATCACCTCT